AGAGTATACAAGTCAGTTGCTTTAGCTTAACCTAACTCCCTAGGCCAACAGTATTTAGTATGCAACATCTCCAATAAAAAAGAGAGCCAAGTTTGCAAGTTTAAAGCCCCAGCAGAGACGTGCGTTCCGTGCCCCCTCCCGAGGGGGTCTCCACACCTGGAGAGGCTGCTCCGAGCGCCCTGGTGCTTGCTCCACGCAGAGGAGAGCAGAGCTGGGTCAGCCAGTGCCCAAATGTGCCTTCAGCTACTATATACAGTTTGGCACCTTTGACAGTTCCTGCTGATCACGATGTGACCACCGGTGGCCAGGAGCAGCAGTCTGTGGCCACACGACTACCCACGCCCGTCCCCACGCAGCATGTCAGAGGACAAGCATGGACAAGCTGCAGTCGTTACAGCTCCACCCTTGTCATCCCTTCTCCTCTGCTCCTGTGAGGTGTGCTCGGCGGAGGGCGGGCAGTGGCACTCCTGCTCCTGGCCCGGCTGCTACAGCTGCATCTGAGCATGATCCAGAGTACTGCCCCCACTCCCAGCCACTCGGTGGAAGTAAAGCAAAGCCTAAAATCTGTTTTCACATCCCTTTTCCTAAGGCCAGCTGTACGTTTGTACAGCCCCCTGCAGATCTTTTAGTGTGGCAGGCACTCGTGTTTCATCTAAAGTCACTTCACAGTTTAAAAAGAAACCCAATAGGCACAAGCTTGTTGAAAGCCACATCTTGAAAACTCGAGTTGATGACAGTAACCCAAAGGGATTTTAATGATGAATACTTGCAGAAATGAGAATAAACATACGCAGTCCACTACTTCAGAGCTTGTGATCACTTTGGGCCAGGCTTCTCAGTGAGGTCTGCTAAACTTGATCAGTACTGGACATCTGTATACTCTCCTTCCAAAGGTGTGGAAAAACCAAGGCAGGACTTAGACCCACACGTTCCCTCAGCTCAAAGCTTGTCGTCTGTCATTTCTAGAAACTGAGCGTAGACATCCCTTGAGCATTCCCCTTTTTGGTTGAATAAGAACTTGTAGTAGCTGCCGTCTGCACATATCGCTGCAATGAAACCAAACAGGGCAAGTTGAGCTGTTGCAGGTACCGTTCTGCTCCTTCAGCTTGAGCTGGGACTGACTTTCCAAGTTAATGGGACATGAGGGGCCAGGGTGGATCAGAACCTGGTTCTCCACACGCAACCCAGGGAAGCCTCCACTACTTACCTATGACAGCATTTGGCTCTGTTCCAAAGGCACAAATGCATGGAGAGCCTGAGGGAACCTGAAATTTGGAAAAACTCCATTTGGAACTGAAGTACTTGGGGAGAAAGATGGCAGCGGCCAAACTGGAAAAGAGGAAAAAGAAAAACCAACAGCAACTTAGAGAGGTGTTGACTAGAGCTGAGTTAGAAACTGCTGGTGTGTCTGAACAAGTCACAGGATTCACACTAATTTAGTTTTAATTGGCTTTTTATTTTCTACTAAGAATCAGGTACTACATACAACTACCCTTCTGGCTTCGTGTTTTTAAGTGACTGCAAAAGCTGCCAAAAGGACTGGTTTTAGCAAAGGCTGCTTTATGTGAAGTGTCCACTATGTTCACACTAAGAAATAGCCACTAAAAACCCACCCTAACTTTCTGCTGGAATTGTGCAGCTCCTCAAAGTGCAGCAGAAACTTGGCAGCTGCTGCATGGTCCTAAATCCGCATTTCCCTCAGCACAGCAGCTCAGTCTTCCCCCTCCAGCAGCGCAGGTATTCACGGCTGCTTGACTAGACCAGTGTTTTAAACTCTATTAAAATGGCATGGGCCCCCCAGCCTCCCCCAAAGGCTTCAGAAAGGCTCAAACCCTACCTTGACTGCTTGTTTCTTTTAGGGTCTTCTGCAGCAAAAATATGTACTGTGCCGTGGTCGCTGGATACGCAGATGAGGGAAGCGTCCTGGTTGAAGTTAATACTGTAGAGAACAGACAGCTGCAGCTTCTGCTCTGGAACGTGCTGCTGCTGCCAGCTCCTCTCTTGGAGGAGCTGGGACTCGGCTCCCATTTCAACAGCCCCTTCAGGGGGAGCAGAGGACCTGGTCCACCAGGACCAGCCATGAAGCAGACTGCCCCAACGGGCATGACCTCTGCCCCAAGGAGCAGGCAGGTACTAGGTAAACTCTGCAAGGCTCCAACTCCCAGCAATGCTCAGGAGGTTTCCTCACTCCTAGCAGTGCTTCCAGCAGTGGGCCCCTCAATCTGCCTCAGGCTCTGGCCTGTGGAGCAGCCCTTCGTGGAAATAAACCTCCCCATAAACCTCCCCTTGGGCCCAGGGGCTCATCCCAGTCTCTAGGACCTTCCCCTGAGGGTGAAGCCTCCCCGGGCTGCCTATCAATACAGATGAGGCCTGTGGGTACATGAGACTGTGCCAACCCCTAGAGCCTGTGCCTGGCTCTGCAGAGCTGCTGGCTGCTGCTCCTCACCAGCACAGGCCCCAGGCAGCCCTGGCACCTCTGGCTGCCAGCAGAGTTCTGCCTGGGCCCAGGGCAGTGTGACTTTGCTGTCTGGAGGTGACTCGGGTGCTGTTTACCAGGATGCCTCAGCACCCCACAGCCCCCAGGAAGAGGAAGCAGAAGCAATTAAACATACCAGTATATATTGGCTGCCTGTGATCCTCTTCGTAGCTCCTGGATTAAATGCCCTGATGAAGTATCAAATATTCTTATGAGGGTCCCCTGGAAAAGGAATTGAGCGTTGCATCAGGGACTACAGCAGACTTCCTACATCTGGGACTGCATCCTACAGTTCTGTCTGACCAGCACATCCCTGCTGCTGCTGCTGTGGGGTTCTTCATCTCAGATCTGAGAACCTGGGGAAAAATACTGATCCCCCTGGCGCCGCGATGTCTCTGGTATGCAAACTCATCACTCAGCTACACAACTGAGTGAGTCCTCCTAGCTACTAGTACAGATCTCCCTCCACTCCTTTGGACACTTTGGGACCCATCGTCCCTCTGTAGCAGTCCCCCTGATGTTCCCCTGCAGAAGGCAGCTCTGTGGCTTCCTCTGCATTCTCCCTACGTCTGTCTGCATCAGCCCAGCCAGCTCTGTACCACACAGTGACTCCAGGTTCTTGTCAGTCTGCTGCATTCTTTAGCCCTGTGTAACGGACACCCACAGACAACTGGGTCGATGTTCCAAGAATCCCGGTGAGAACACCATCTTTCAATGACAAATTCTCCAGCTGCTTTTCCTACAGAAGGATGCTAAAATTCCTGTTTTCGAAGGACTGGCTGCCCTAGAACACACAGTAAATCAGCGGTGGGAGGAGATCACTCTTACTTTTTCTGATGCTGTTGCAATTCTTGTTCCCTGCAGGTTTAATGCTATACAGCTCAAGACTCCTTCGTGAGCTGGGATGTCCACAGGAGGCTTTTCTGTGTTAGCAAGATCCACTATCTGCACATGCCCAGTATGTGTTCCAGGAAATGCAAGAAGGGAATTATTACTATTTGGACAAAGGACACAGAGACCTAAAAGGCATAAAAAGAAGAAAAACAAAACCAAAATAGAGAATAACTGTGTACTTGCCATAACGTAGTAAAGTTTTCTAGCATGTTTCTAAAATATTGGAATTTCAGAATGAACAAGCATATATGTGGTAAATTAGAATTTCATTTTAAGGGCTGTTGTGGTAGCCCAAAACCTGATCCATCTCTAAGTGCTGAGCACAGAGAAATAGGGGAAGAGCACAGTTTTAACTTGCTCTCATCACTTTATTTCGAAGTAATCTAGTTGTGGTTATTGTCCAAAATCTGGATGTTTTTGGAGATCAGCTCCATCAGTTTGTTGCAGCAAAGCTTTTTTTTTTTTTTTTTAAAAAAAAGGCTCCATAGCAGCTCACAAAGGGTAAGAATTTACAATAGGTGATTTTTTAGTTTCTCCTCAGTCAGTAAAACTGATTATTGTTAATTCATGACTGAACCCGCTTCTTATGGCACTTTCACTTTTTTCCTTCATAACTTTTTGCAAGGCACTGAAGGTAAATCTCATCTCCCACAGGTGTTCTCCTGGTGCAGGTGAATTCCCACAGCTCACAGAGCAATGGTGGCTACCACACCGAAGAATCTATCTGCCACTGCAGTGGGCCCATGAGCCCACCCATCAACCAGCGGGCCCAGCTGCCCTGAGCACAGAGCCTACGTCACCTTCTGGTGGAGAGAACATCTCCCTGGTGCCCAAGGTGATCCTCCCAGTCTATCAGGCATGGCCAACGCCCCTTGTTCTACTGTCTGGTACCATCAAGAAGAGTTGGGCTCTGCTGTTTCTGTAACTGTCCTTCAAGGAGCTGTAAGCTGCCAGCTGTGGATGGCCCTGCACAGTCTCCTTTTTGCAGGAGTAACCAAGCCCAGCTCTGCAACCTCCCGGGCAGGCCACGTGATTCAGGCCCTGGACCATGCTCAGAGCAGGGGCTGGTTGTGCCCGGGGGCAGATCCTCACCCAGCTGCCGTTACCCCATTACCCCCTCCCGCTCTGGACCCTCCCTCCCACAGCTAGTGCAGCTGACACGGGGCAGGCATGCTTCCCGCCCAGTATCGGCTCCCCTTCCAGTAACCCTGACAGTACCAGCCCCCTCCCCTCGGGCCAAACCCCTGCGCTCCCCCACGCCCCCCAGGTGCCGCCCCGGGGCCCTGCACCCTGCCCTGCCCGCGGCACTGGTCCCCACCTCGCTCTGGGACACCACCTGCTCCTTCAACAAAGGGCAACGTCCTATCTGGCTATTTAAAAAGAACAGTACCAGTTTGCTAGTTAGGCTCCTTTTGACACTCTAGAGAAGAGTTTGCTGGACAGTTCTAGCCCTGGCAGAGCAGAGGAATGATACTTTAATAGAGTTTGTGTTTATAATTAAGTTTTCAGTGCAGAGTACATCAAGTTTACAGGGTCTGTACAAAAGAAAGCGTCTGGCTCTTGTAGAAATCCAATCTGTAACACGAGCACATGAAAAAGCTTTTGTGCCAAGTATTAATAAATTCTAAGAATCATTTTGTGAACACAAAAGCATCTCCAAAGAGAATGACTACAGTGAAGGAAGCAAACTGTTTAATGACTTACTAAAAAACTGATTCAGGCAGCTAAGGATAAATGGCATGTCAAGAGCAGAACAAACTTGCCTCCGTCCCCAGCCCACATCCACAACTAACCTTTAGGGTTGTAGCAGGTTTCAAAGACATGCAGCTGGTGGGGATTGTGTGTGAATGTGAAAACTTTTATCATCGAGTCCAAGACTACCACAATTCTGAAACAGAGAAGAAGTTCCTATGACTTGGGGTGGGTAAAACAGGGACATTGATGTTAATTCAGCTGTGCAAAGGCTTCCAACTGATGTAATGGCTGTGTTCTCCCTCCCCCTCAAGAGCCACAGCCGCACACAAACCCATGCAGCTATGAGCCTGCAGCAGCAGTTTATCCAAAGCTGTGACAGCACAGCCCCTCCGCCCACATATATGCAGGCTCCAGCTGTTCACAGATGTTCCAGAGATCCACCTCAATTCCCTTCACACTCCTCCACAGCTAGAAAAACAGTCAGCAGCAGCCACAGGAGAACATTTCCCTGCATTAGGGGGCCAGAAAGTCTTGCAGGCTTTTCACCAAAGTTTCAGATACCAGAACACTTGAGCTGTGAGCTGTTAACACCTAACGCTCACCCCCCAGCACCTGTTTTGCCTTAGCGTGCCAGTGGTAAAGCCAGATCTTTTTCTTTCTACAAACAGCTGGAAAAGAGTAAGAACAGCACAAGGCCAAGGCACGTATTTGGACCATGTCTGCTGTACCCACCGATCTCTTCGCAGCTTTACTGCTTTGACTTCTGTGGAAAACTCAATCTCAATGACAGTCTTCTTCTTCAGGTCATCCCAGATCATTACTAGAAGAGTGCAGAGATGGCATTAGAACGTCGTGGTGTACCGGAAGATCCACGCTGTCCCCAGTTTCTGAGAAGGCCAAGCCAGAGGTGCCTCCAGCAGCTAAGCAGTTACAGACTGGCATCCTGCTACCCAGAAGGTTTTTAGCTACTACAGATCAACTCACTCCTGCAGGTAGGAGCCCATAAACTCTTAACCACAAAAGCTGAAAACGCATTTAAGACAATCACCTTTTTTTGTTTTGCTCTGAGGTTTATCAACTAAATAAGGCAGCAGTCAAAAAAATGAGCATATTTTTTTGCCAAGCTTGTCAACCAGGGACCTTTCTGCTCTCAGGGGCTCAGCCACAGAGTCTCCCTGCAAAGTCACCTGTGAGAAGTACAGACTCTGTCGCCAGGTCTCTGTGGCCAGTCATTGCAGGTAACTGCCTGCTAACGGCAGTGATGCAACTCATTTCACATTAACTTAAACCTGCTCCATCCGACCTTCAGAATCGCAGAGCCCAGCTCAAGGCACCTGGTTTGGGAGTTCTCTGGGAGTCTCACACAGACAGCGAGGCAAACCTTGACAAGATCTACTCCAGACTCACCTTTGTTAGGTGGGTACTTTGGCTTTTTTCCTCCACCTACTAGTGCTAAATAGTTGCAACGAAACAACATTTCGACATGGCCAACACCACCTTCTAGAAATTCTGAAAGACAAATGTATTTTATTTAAAGCGTCAGCAGCTCAAGGGCAGCCTGATCATTGCTGTTACACAGTGGGTTTGTAAATACGTTCAGAAAGACTGTCCAGGGAGCTGGAGTTGTTCCCCTCACACCCACAGCTCGGGGCTGCACTCACACCACACATTCAGAAACAAGGACAGCAGTCGGGGGTCATGAACCTTTCTCTTTGCGAGGGGATTCATCTGTATGGAGCCAGGAGATTTGAGGGAAGGTGGCGAACTGCTTGTGTATGTGACAAACTAGAATGTCTTGTGCATCTCTGGGGCATCCCAGAGGGGCTGGAACAGGGAAATACAGTCCAGCACCGGCCGGCCTCAGCTCCGCGATGTAGGAAACAGTGAAAGCAAAACAGATCAGCTGGCACAGATGTGTCTCATTTGTAGCACAAGGAAAAGGTTTTTTTTGTTTAGGGTTTGTTTCAGCTTTTGTTTCTTTTAAGACTTTCAGCTGCAGAGGAAGTAGAATAAGATGCCATGCTTATGGTGCAAGTGGAGGAACAAAATACCAACCAGGGAATTTTACAATAAAAGAATGTTTCTATTTGATGACTTTTGAGTGGAGGCTTGGCTTTGTTTACGTAGCTTAGCAGGATGCTTGGCCTCCACTGGAGAGAGGACACTGAACTGTCAGGAGGAGAGGCTGGAACTGTGGCCTTCACAGTAGATGAGCAGAGTAAAAAACAACCTTCTCCTTTAAAAGCCTGTCCAGTGACTGCACACGCATCAGGAAAGGTGGATTAAGCCACTGAACTGTTTCAGAGCTAGAGGAAAAGGACTCACAAGAGACCTATGGTCAGAAACGGGGATGGGAGAAAACAGCAAAGATATCTGAGGAGCTGGGAGGAAGCACTGCCATGGAAAGATGTAGAAATACAAACAAACGACAGGCCAAGGGAAATTTAGTTGGACATTAAGCATTGCAGAACATCTGGGTGAGGAATCTATTCTGGGACTTGACTACACAGTGCTGAAGGTAAGTGCCTGGAAAGATCTTCACAGTGGAGCCTTGGGTGTCCTGCAAGTCCTCGTGGGTTCTTCAACAACACCTTTGGCTGCCAAGTTTCCTTCCTAACAGTTGTATTTGGGCACTACCCCCTTCTGCACCAGGTCCTCCTCCTAACTCCATTAAAGCATTTAAAGCATGGCAGCACATTTTGTTTTGAAGAGGCATTGTCACAGCGACAAAGTCTACAGCTGAGAACCTGGACAATTTAAGAACATGCGATGTGTTCTGAATCTGTTAGAACAGCTATTTCAATCCTCATATTTACAGTTCTGACAAGTGATGCTTGGGGGGGGAACTTCACGTAACTCCTGGATGTAACAGAGACAAGCCAGGGTGTCACAGTTAAGACTTGATTTCATACAGGGTTACAGAAATCAATCAAACAGACAAGCTCCAACCGGGACTGTCTCAGGTGGGTTCTAATAGGTAGACTTAAACTTACATGAAAGATGGACAAGATTTCTGTGTGTACTATGCAGCCAGTACAGTCTGGCCTCTCAGAATCCACAAGGGAAAAGCTGTCCGACTCCAAAAAAACAGTTCACAACAGGAGTCCTGAAGTATGTCCAGAGCTACTGGCAGGGAGAGTTTTGTCAAGGAACTCAATAGGACTTTGACCTGAATTCTGATCCTTTTAGCACGCTATTGCAGATGAGTGTCCCGAGGCTTATGGAAGCATTTAGTATTCAGAACAGAAAACAGTTTGTTGGCCTTGGCCACATGAAGAGCGACTGACATCTCTTACAGCACTAGAAGGTGGAAGCCTGCCTGGTTTCATAGGAATTGCTGGTTTACATATATTTTTCCTCTTATTAAATCCTTTCTGCCAACACAGGCTGGAAGTGCTGGGGAGCCTGTTCAGCACAGCAGCCTTCTTCCCCTCTAGGGTTAGAATCACATGGGTAGGTTTCATTTTCCCTTGTTTTGGCTCGGTTAGGTTTGGTTTCTCATAAAAAGCCTCACTGCCTGTTAATATAGCTCATCTAGTCACTTCTGTCAAGACATGGTTCTAGGTTTACCACCAAGATCCTCAATTTTTTTAAGCATACAGAAAATATAAACCCAGCATATAGTTCCAGTAATCCCTAATTAAAGTATGAGAAATGTTACACTCAGCTCTCCAGTGAAAAGGCAGCAGTTCTACTGCACTAGATGATCCAGATTACTGCACAAGAGCAGAACATCTTCTCTTGATGGGACATTGTAAAGTTGCAGCAAGCACCTCCGTGACCACCTGTGAATAACCAGGCAACTCCTCCCCTGTTCAGGACTACAGCCAGCCACAGCTCACACGACCCAGCCTCAGCAAGGTGAGACACACTCATCATCAGCCAGCGCTATGCAAATTAATAGCATATGAACATCTGACCAGGCAGTGGCATCGGTGACAGTGCCTTTGGGCCAGCGTGGGCTTCTTTTCTGGAGGCTTTGTTCAAAGCCTCCCAGTCAGGGAACATTGAGAGCTAAGGAAGGATCTTAAGGAAGAAGGCTGAGCTTCTAATGCAGAACTAGCATGGTAGAATAAGTAAGCAGTTTACCTTGTTTCTCTTTTTCTTTGAGCGGATCTGCATTATAAACTCGGAATCCATTTTCCATTCCACATGCAAAGCATCCTGTAGTAAAAAGCACATATATATACACATACATAGTCATTGTGAGATACACTCCAGAGCTAAGCAGGAGCCAGAGGGTTACAAGAGCATTCCTTGCTGACTGCACTGTGAAGTTCAAGCTGAAGGCCCCTTGCAGGCTCTGTCAATGTCCACAAATGAAAGCTGCTTAGAGGAGTTGTTCTCTTCCTTGGCCTCTACGTTAGTGGAAAGTTCTCAGCATTGTTTGTAGACAGATGAGAAAACAGTGGAAGGAAAGGAGAGCAGTTCCCAACCCATCTGTATCCTATGCCATGCACTACAGAGGGAAGGAAACTTGAATTTTAACTTTTATGGCCCAACAGTCGTTGTGAAGCAAACCCCCTCCTTTCCTACTAGACCCAAACTTACACCATGGTGATGACTTCATGGAGGATGGGCCATTGTTCATGTTTTCACAGAAAAAAGCTCCTCAAACATAGTTTTTGCCTTTAAACTACAGTGCCCTGTCCTGCTGCTTTACTGGCTGTGGGTGAGTGCAGTTACTAGTACAAAGCAATGCCAGGGTGAAGTTAGAAGCAGCAACCGTTGCTAGAGACAGACTGACACAAGATTAGTTGCTACACAATTTATATGCACCGGATCAAATATCCAGTTAAGATCTTCAAGGTATTGGAACAGAGATATGCAAATTAGGCTGGTTTTATTCTTACGCACTGCAATGACTGTAATTATTTAAAAATTACACAGTTTGGGGAAAATAATGCAGCAAATTTGAGATTCCTTTTTAATACTTGAAGAGTTCCATTCCAAAGTACAAACATTTTAAAAAAAAACACCAGCGAAACCCCAACCAAACACACACAAACCCCCCACCAATCAAAACCCAACAACGACAGAAGGCATCACCTCTGCTCTAGAGACCAGCTTCTCAGGAGGTGTGGGGTAGCATGGCAGTCTCTTTAGGGTTCCTATTCACTGAACTCACACAACCTAAGGAAAAATTACTACAAGAGCCATCTCTCCACCCTTTGGTGTAGAAAGGAACTAATTAATCCTCTTAATTTACAAATAGTCATCAACAGCAGTCACAGACCAAGTGTACCCACTGTTCTAACAGCAGAAGAAAACAAAACACACTAAACACCAACGCACAGGCACAATTTTACCCTGTCCAAGATTTGTAATAAATATAAACAAGAATTTTTTGCACTACATCTGTAAGCATACCTAGAGAGTGGATAACGAGAATGTAGTAATTATAGAAACATTAGTAAACACAGGAAATAGATCTTTTTACAGTAACTACATTCATTTTACCTCCTCCCTTCTCAGTGCATCATTCTTTAGTTTGCTCTACACAGAGGAGCATGCAGCACCAGTAAGCTGCCACCTTGTGCAGTGGACTCTACTGGGATAACCAGAGAGAAAATCACAATGGAAACATTTCTCTCCACAAAACACAACAGTGTACAGGATCAGAGCTAATCTAGTCCTGGCAGCTGGAGTATGTACCCAGATAATCAAGTTTCCAGTGACAGTTTTATAGCACAACACTATTTCCAGGAGAGACAAAGGAGGGGGATGCTGAAGCTGTTCTACAGTGAAAGAGCACTGGCAAGTTTTACTTGGGTTAACACCAGCAGCTTAAGACAGAGACAGAAAATTCTCAGCTGTGGCAACCCCTGAGCCAGACCCCAGGAAAAGCTATGCAGGCAGATGAGTGCTACTCATTCAATCCCAGGTTACAGGGACAGCTCTGGAGCCCAGTGTTTCTCATCTGACTGGTCCCACTATTTACCAGTGGGATCCCAAATTCCATAGCTACAGCTTGTGAGCTCCCAAGAGAGAGCTCCTCTTGGAGAGGAGCTGCCAGAAGTGGGAATTGTGGCAATCATGGGTAGTCTTCCTTCTGCAGGAAGTTCACCTCTCATTTTAGGAGATCGTCAGGAAGGGTTAAATTGATGTCTAGCAAGAAGATGTCACAAGCTGAAGGCAGCACGCTGACATGAAGAACTCTGCAGGTTTTAGGGCCCAACAGCCAGCAATTGAAACTGGGAAGTCTAGGGGAGCGACTACAGCAGGCACAGTTCCTAGCACATTAGTTTTCCTGGCCGCAGCAAATTTTGTCTAAAGCCATAAAAGAGAGCACAGAATCCTACTCTGCCATTTATGGGGTCCTACAGCTAAGCACTTCAGTCCACTGAAGGAGATCAAGTTGGATAAGCCAAGCATTTCAACAGCAAAACAAGGCCACGCCTCAGTGTTCAAACTAGCTTCAGACTACAGGAGTGACAAAAGAGAGACCTGTCAGCAGTTTACACATGTACTTTTGGTGTGATCATTTGTGATGATGTTTTATCTAATCATTTCTGTAAAGCACCTTAATGTTGTTTTGAAAGCATTAAAGAAGTGCCTGAAATCAGGAGTACACCAGATTAAATTGAAGACCCTGAAGTGAGAGAATTCTTGTTTAGAACACCTTGCAATATGGGCCTTTTCGGGGGGGCGGG